GTGTGTGTGTGTGTGTGGTTCACCTTTTTGCTTTATCCAAGCATTGCATATTTGAGGAGCATATGTATTAACTCAGATTTGACGATGGAAAGCTGATGATTAAAATACTGGTGTGTAATTGTCAACAATATGTGTACCGGTATGTATGGTATGATTAATGCTTTATTTGGTTAATTTTCTCTCATCGAGACGATGGATATTTTTCTTACTCACTCAACAGGGAGTGTCCACAGATACTTCTGATGTTTCATTAAGAAAATATTGTGTATTGCAACACTGTGACATGAAATAGTTGTGTGGCAATGAGAGATGTGTGTCATGATATAGTCATGTTATAGGTTACTCAATTAATTGTATGAATTATGTTATTTCCAAATACGGCCCTCTTATGGACATTGTTCACTTATTCATTGGCAGTTTAAATCAGGAAAGTAGTTTTTCTATGAATGACAAATGGAAAACAGTGTGTTATAGAAACTCAGTCTCACAAGAGAGGTTTGGATCTGAGGCTTAAATGTCATGATGAGGCTCTAAAACTGTCATCAGCCATTTTCATCACCTCTCTTAACAAAAATGACCAACTTCAGATTTTTTTACTATCTGGAAATAAAATGTAGAGAATATGCAAAAGACCTTTTTTATAACAAGCTGAACATAAGTGACTTAAAATTTCCATTATACATTAATGACTGATGTTCCTTTTGAGAGCTAGACCAAAAAAAAAAAGGTTGGTGGAAAAATATGTTCTGTCCTTTGACAGTTGTTCAATCAAGTGAAGTGTTCTTCCTTTTGCAACTGTTTTTCCAATTACTGTCTGTTTTGGGACAAAAAAAATGGGTGACGGTTTAAACTCAATGTATTACTTTTTCATGTGTAGTGTGGAAACAGATTCTTATATCTCTGTCAGATGGGTTTCACTCTTGTTTTCCTGCCATGCAAAGCATTTAAGGTTAAATCTATAACCCTCTGTCAGCAGTAGCAGGATAATAATAAAGATAGTTTTTGCTTTGAACTGCCAGTTAGTCACAATAAAACCTTTCTGAGATGCCTTTTGGGCTGATAAGAAAAACTGATAACCAGGTCGCATGAAGCTGTGTGTCTGATCAGACT